CATCTCGTTATTGTCGGCTGGTGCCAGACAAACGGAAACAACGTCATCACCGCCACAGAATAATGATTTCCAAGCAGTCGAGCGGCTGACATACAGCCCAATTGGGCTGATACAAAAGTATATTATATATTGATGCCTATATGTATACCATAGCACACGTAATGGGCAATAGGTGGAAGGCATTTTTCGTCCCCCATGTGGTGCAGCTCCCTTTTCTTGTTTTTGGCTGTGTTCAATGTCGTATAAAAAAGCGAGTATAATCCAAACAGTAAAAAGGGGTACAGACTGAGGCGTGAAATTAACCACGTGTAGAATATATTATGACTCGGAACGGCTTTGCAGTCCGAAATCGGCGTCACACTCTGAACACTTAACCGCTCAGCAAAAAAGGGGGAAAAGGGAAGAAGGAGGAGGCTCCTTAGTGCGGAGAAGTTTGGGCTACGTCTCCAAGGCTGGAAGCATCCATGCCACCCGAGTAGAAACCTTTCTCACAGGGCATACGGGCATTTGAAGCCAAAAATGCTGGCAAGCATTGTACAAGGCTCGAATTAAGAAGCTAGGGTATCAACCACCAAAAGAGGCCGCTCACCATCTTTTCGCTCCTACAGCAGAAACGTGTACACGCACCCATTCATGTGCCGGCGTCACGGTTGACGTGTCTGAGCTCTTTGTCATCGTTCATCAGCTTTGCCCCCGGTCTGCGTTTCTTTTGTTCTTGAGCTAAGAAAGAAAAAGAAAGAGATCACCTCCCAGAGCCAGGCAACGGCCGCGGCCCAACAATCTGCCTCCTCCCCGAACCAATGCCCTGGGCACCCCTATTCTGGGAATCACCCCCCGTGTAGCCACTCCATTGGCCTACGTCCCATCTGCCACCGATGCCGCCCCCGATGCCATCTACGCCGTTTCCTGAACGGGCAGCCTTGGCCGTCTCCTTCTGCGCCTCCTCCCACTCCTGCTGGCGTTGGCGCTCCATCTCCATCTCCCGCTCGAGGAGGGACTTGGACGCCCATCCGGCTGCTTTGGTCTGCGCCTGGCTCTGTACGCGACGGCGGTCCTCGCCGTCTCGTTCCTCGGTGGCGCCTAGTTCACGGGAATACGTCTGGTGGGGTTTCGTCTGCGGGGGAGGGGTATTGGTCGCGAGGAAGCGGTCTGTTCGGTTTTGAGACGATGCGGAGGCGGGCGCGGCGTACTTCTTGGGGTCGGGGAGCGGCCGGCTGCTGCTGCTGATGGGGTTGGGGCTGGGGCTGGGGGACTTATTAGACTGCGGTTTGGGTTTGGGAGTGACGTTGGGCTCGGGGAGAGGTCGGGGGGTTGTGGTGAGGGCAGGAGGGGCTTCGACGTCGACGGATTCTTGGCGCCGCGGCTCGAGGGACGATTCTCGAGAGCCTTTCTGGTGTTCGGACCATTGGCTTTGCAGGTAGTCTCGCTCGTCGTCCTTGGTCCATGATTCGTAGCGGTTTTGTGAGCGCTGAGGTCCCACGGCGGACGGCGTGGACGGCGCGGGCGAGGTGCCGCGGTGCCGGCTCCTGGACCTGGCCTTGTTGGGGACGATTTCGCCGATGGGCCTGCTGGTGCTTCGTGTTTGGCGCTCCCGCTCGTACTCTGCTTCGCGTTGGCGTGCTCGTTCCAGCTCCTCCTCGAGTTTCTGGAGGCGGCTGTTGCGGCGATCTGCCTCGGCCTGCTCGGCCTGGTACTGGCTCAGGAACTGACCCTGCAGTCGGGCGTCGCCGCGGCCTCGGGCTCGTTTCCGCTCTTCCTCCAGTCTCGCTTCGGCCTCTTGCTCCTCCTTGCGGCGCTTCTCCTCCGTCAGCCTCCACTGCCGTTCCTGCTCTTCCCACCTGCGCTTCTCCTCTGCGGCCTTGCGGCGCTCCTCTTCGCGGAGCCTCTGCGTCTCTGCCTCCCACTTGCGTTCCTCTTCCCGTCGGGCCTCCTCCTCTTCGGCTTCCTGCTGTGCCCGTCGCTGGCGCTCCTCTTCCTCCTGTCTCTCGGCCTCCTCCCTTCGCTTGCGCTCCTTGTCGGCCAGGCTGGGCACGTGAGGGCTGGCACTCGTGATCTGACGCATGCCGCCAAAGGAAATGCCCAGATTGCCCTGACTAGCACCGCCCATGTACCCGTACTGAGCGATATTCCACGCCGGCGCCGTGGAGCCCTCGTGTTCCCGCTTACTCCAGCTGCTAACAGGGCCGGGAGACCCGGGGTTTGTCATGGTCGGGCTCTTGGTCGGACTACGCCTGCCCGTGGGAGTCGTGTCGCCGCCGCCGGTCCTACGGGGGAGCACTGGCTTGGAGTTGTACGCCGAGGACGAGTTGCTGGTGATGGAGGTGCCGCGGCCGCGGAGTCCCGTCGGTGACGCATATCCGGATATCTGGGGGCTGATGACGCCGGCTGCCCGACTTTTGGGACCTATCGGGTCCGGAAAACGGCCCGGGTCGGCGTCGTGCGCGGCTCTGCTGAAGGCACCGAGGCACTGAAGCACCTGCGCAGGGTCCTTCTGCTCGTAGAGGTCGACGGTGAGAAAGGTGTCGTGCTGCTGCAGGTTGAGCGGCGGGGACTGGCAGGCGCGCAGGAAGTGGGATATGTTTTCCATCTGGACGAAGGGCATGGGAGACTTCTTGAACTTGATGCCGGGCGGGGGAGTTGCAAGGTTGACGAGCCTGAATAAAAGTTGACATGTCAGTAGCAGCACTCTCGGGTACTCTCTGGCCAAAGGGTCATGGGCAATGCTCCTACTTGCAGAGCGCAACGCCGTCCTTCAAGCCCTCTAATAAGTCTTGAGACGGCAGCCTCTCGCCAAGGGCCTCCTCTATCCATGAACGGGCCTCGTTGGCGGCCTCGGGCGTATATTTATCAAGGCGCAACTTGCGCAGGTCCTTGTCCAGCGACGTGACCGACGCCATGGTGTTTTGCGGTGCGGGAAAATAATCCGCGGCGTAATGGTTCGTCTAGGGTGGGAGAGCGGACGGGAGAGTTGTTGTACAAGGGCTCAGAACCTTGCCGAGAAAAAAAAAAA